CATGTATATATATATATATATATACACACACACATACATGTGTTGTATGTGTACATACACACACAGAAACAACACACACAGAAACAACACACACACACATATGTACATACACACACAGAAACAACACACACACACATATATACATACACACACAGAAACAACACACACACAGACAGAAACACACACACACACACACACAGAAACAACACACACACACACACACACAGAAACAACACACATATATACATACACACAGAAACAACACACACACACATATATATATATATATATATATATATATATATATATATATACACATATATATATATATATATATATATATATATATATATATACACACACACACACACACACACACACACACTGATACAGGTATACACATAAACACCTATGCAGAACAAATGTAAACAATGACCATTGTACAAACAAATATGTACTCTATTCCATAAGACTGTACCCATGCATGCCCAAATTAAGCTCTACTCTGTATTGAGCAGTTTTTCAAATATAATGCCTGGATATTGGTACTAACTTACCTTACACTTGTGTTTGTGTGCATATATATCTATATATATGGAGAAAATGTATGACAAAGTGAAAAAAGTTTTCTTGTGATGCATTTTATCCTTTAGGACTTCAGCAGACTGATGTACCCCAAGAAAAGCCAGTGTGTACTAACCCTGACTGTTGGGCAAGCATGATTGGGGGCTACAGGCAGAACTTTGTGACAATTACTATCGTATCAAAATTTGTTTTTTTTCTTACCTTCATTTATATACATTACAAATTAAACTAAGCACAACTGACTATTAAATGATGAAAAAGTTTTCGCTGATTTCGGGGTCTGTTTTTTTGTCCAAATTCATGAATTTCTTTTGCTCCTGCTAAGTCTTAAGAAAAAAACACTATAAAATTCACTAGTTTTTATCCATAATGTCGAATATGATAAAATTATTCAACTTCTTAACAGGAATAAACTGAAGTTGACGTTAAAAATTGCTGCAAAATATTCATTCATTTAAAATGGAATGATCTATTATGACATCTGTCTGATTTGTATTTAGTTACATTGTATTTATTTTCAATTTTTCAAGTTGAATTGTTCACCTATATTGCATATGATCCATTATTATACATAACTAGGTTATAATAAAATCTGTTTTTTTACATGAATACAACCATGAAAATTGAGATGGAGTAGAGCATCTGTGTGTGTGTGTGTGTGTGTGTATATATATATATTTTGGAGGTTGCTGAAAATTCTCAGTCCAACAACAAATGGATTTTAATTAATTTCATATTAATTAACCCTAAATAAGTAATCCCATTTTAGTGTTTAAATTTTACCAGCATTGCTATAAAGAGTGTTATTATCTAATCTCTTCCAATATATGTCATGTTCCTTCCCAACATGGGCAATCACGGTCCACCTCCTCTTCCTGTCTTTTGTTATGTTTTATGAATCTTGTTTTTGTTATGCCATTCATTTACTCAAATTCCTCATTAATTTTTGCATGTTTCTTTTGCTTTTGATGATGTCTGTGTTTCTTAAATTCTCCCAGTCTTATGTGTTTCCAGAATATTCAGCCATCTATTTCTGATTTTTAGCAATATATTTTCTTTTATAGTTACTATTCTCTTCAAAACGTCATAGTTTATCTCATACTCTGCCCTTAGTATTCTCAGCATTCGATGGTTGACCCACTTATCTGTTAGTTCATCTCTGATGAAATTGTTCAGTATTAACTTCTATATAGACAATATATAGCAGTGAGGATGAAGCTCACAACTCGGTCATAATTGATGTAGCAAGACAAGGTTGTTAACGATTAAACCAGCGGTCCAATTATACTAGAGATTTACTAAGTGTAGCTTAGTGGCAGCACAAAACCAAAAGGATGGGACATCCGGTGAGGATCGAACTCACTGATCAATTGTAATTGATATAGCAAGGTAAGCTTGCTAACCATTACACCACTTCGAAGTGCCTTGATATGGAATGATATAAAAGCTCAGACATTATATATTATTTCAGTAATTTAAGAACATTTTTCAATCCCATATTGTCTTACTTAGTTTCTCTTTCGAGTTTCCAAAATTATTGAAGTGGTATCATGCAAGAGTTAATTTTAAACGTGCCATAAGCATTTTTTGGAGTGTGTTTTTTCTATGGCTATCATGATAATTGGTAAAAGCTAAACCAGCCACACCTGTAGAGATCTTTTGAATATTTAACCAGTCTGAACAAAGAATCAGGCTATCAACATTTGCAGAGTTGAAATACAATTAATGAAATATCAACACAAGTGAAAATCAAAATAACAGGTGGCTGTTATAATAATAATCTTTAATTTGAATTAAGTTTCTACTCTTTTACAAGCACTGGATATTTCTTGTTCTTGAACTCCCTTTTAAAATAAATTCTTTGTTTCAAAATAAACAAAGGATATTTATTATGGAGCAATATTTGATTAGTTAATATCAGTGAGTTTTGACCCCAGCTGGTTTCACCTGTTGATTCTAACACAGTTTTAATTTAAGTTTTCAGAAAACAAAGAATTATATGGAAAAATGTTGGATAAGTGCAGATATAAAAATATATTTTGAATATCCAGTTTCAAATCAGAAAACAAAGAAAATTAAATTAGATAATGGAATTTGGGGCAATGTGATATATAAAGCAACAAAACAATAACAAACAACAGTGCTAAGAACAAAGTAGTAAGAAGCTTAATGAAATCTGCTAGGCAGTACATCTAGACACATCAGATGCCAGCAATTTAAAATTTTAAATTAGGCATTCCTGCATCTACAGCAATTCTCTTGATGTTTAATTATAATCAATGCTTGTTTACATTTTAATTTTCTCCTCTGTGCATATATGATCCCTTCAACAAAAACATTACTTCGTCTGAAGAAGTTCTTTTGAAGGATGAAACCAATTATACAGAACTTTTTCCATGTTCTCATTTAATTTCCATCCATAGGGAATATTCAATAAGCACAGATTAAATATAAATTTAGATCATTCAGTTTCTAATCTGGAATGAGATTAATAATGTATACAAAAATAGACAAAATTTCACTTAATCCTTTGATTAAGATATACATTTAGATTTTTAAATTTAATTTTTTTCTTCTTTTACAAATGCTATGCTCATCTGTTTTTCTAAAATGATTGAATTGCAACTAGTTTCTATTTTCCTGAATGCCAAATGTTTCCTTGTAGGGAAACGGCTAATATTACTATTAATATTAGTTGAATTTATTGAACAGGAGGAAAACCAAATGATTTGTTTACATTAAGCATAAGTGAATTTGTGAAGTTTGCTTGATACAAAACTTGCTGCATCAAGTCCATGAGCAGGAAATTAGTCTAAATTATTATCTTTATTTGAGATGAAGAATGTCTGAAACAATTTAGGCTGAAATTCTAATTCAGATGACCTGAAGTAAAATTGAACTAAACAAATCAAATACTTTTGTTCACTTATCCTTTATGACTTAGTTTATCTGAAAACACATCCAATTAGAAAAATGATTGTTGCTGCTGACTAGATAATAACAAAAGAGATTACGAGATACTAATAACCTTAGTACAAAATGCAACTAAGTAGTAGTCATCTCAAATAGTTTTAATGTAATATTGTACAGCATGTCCCTAAAGTCTGGACACACAGGAAATCTCATTAACTATATTTTTTTATCTCCACTTTTTCTGGGGTTTTCTGAAGGAGAAGGTGTACTCAATGAAAACCACAGATGCAGCACACTTGATTGAATGCATAAAGAGTGGACGGACTAAAATTGATGGTAATGCAGAGTTACTGCATTGAGTTTATATGAATCTTGCAAAGCACATCAACCTTTGCATGACAAATGATGGCAATCATATTGAAGATGTTATTTGTTAATAATAAAATGTTGAAAGTTTCATTTCTTGAAAATATGCATTTTTTTCCTACTGGTTTAGACTTTATGGATAGACCTTATAGTTGAGTTAGCAAAGAATATTTTTGGCTAAGATATTCATTTTTTTTCTCTTTCTGTAATGGCTAGGTTCATCTGTTTGTATAAAATAATTTAATCTCAACCAATTCAGCTGAATTAATTAAACAATCTGCAGCATAAGGAAAAAATAATATTTCTCTTGTATAACAAATATTTTGAACATAAGAGATGAAACTATTTTATCTTGAAGAACTTTCAACCTAAGACGAAAGTTTCTGGTAATTCTCAAAATAATAATAGCAGAAATGAAATGGTAATTTTCATCTTCAGTGATTGTGCAATATAATACAACATATTATCAAGTCCAAGAAAGTTACAAATAGGTAAGCGACTGAGTTCAATTACAGGTTTATTGGGCAGAATAGTTATTGATAACATTAAATAACTACATATTATAAAATTGTAGAAAAACAAACTTATCAATCATTACTTTCATGTGGAAAGAGTAAGGATACCTTATTAATGGGGAAAATGTTTCTCTTCTCCATATCTCAGAGTCACCAAGAAGCCAAATTGTGGATCAGTGTTGATACTGTGAGATGTTAGAGGGAAAAGGATACAATTTCAATGTAATTTTTGTAAATATCATGCTCTTTGATGTTGGTAATGTTTGTACAGCAAGAAGCAATGCATTTATTTGTTGCCCAAAGCTATTGTAAGATTGTATTAATGGACCGACAGAAGAACGAGAAGAAAAGAAAAGGAAATAAAAGTGGAGTAAACAGAAGAGAAAATTGAAGGAAGATGATTACAAAAGATTAACAGGGATGAGATGGTGGCCATGCAAGGGTGAGAATTAGATACGGTGGCGATGCGAGGGAAAGAGAGACGGTGTGTGAGAGAAAAACAATATGGAGAAAAAGATATGTGAGGACAGATGAAATATAAAAACTTCTAAAAGAAGATCGGTGGAATGATAAAAGATTAACAAGGATGTGACGGTGGCGATGTGAGTGAAACAATTTGAGATGGTGTGTACAGGAGAGACTCGGAGGCCGTGGCTACGCGAGGGAGAGACTCAGAGGCCGTGGCTACGCGAGGGAGAGACGGAGGCCGTGGCTACGCGAGGGAGAGACTCGGAGGCCGTGGCTACGAGGGAGAGACTCGGAGGCCGTGGCTACGCGAGGGAGAGACTCGGAGGCCGTGGCTGCGCGAGGGAGAGACTCAGAGGCCGTGGCTACGCGAGGGAGAGACTCGGAGGCCGTGGCTACGCGGGGAGGCCGTGGCTCGGAGGCCGTGGCTACGCGAGGGAGAGACTCAGAGGCCGTGGCTACGCGAGGGGGAGAGACTCGGAGGCCGTGGCTACGCGGGGAGAGACTCGGAGGCCGTGGCTACGCGAGGGAGAGACTCAGAGGCCGTGGCTACGCGAGGGAGAGACTCAGAGGCCGTGGCTACGCGAGGGAGAGACTCAGAGGCCGTGGCTACGCGAGGGAGAGACTCAGAGGCCGTGGCTACGCGAGGAGAGACTCGGAGGCCGTGGCTACGCGAGGGAGAGACTCGGAGGCCGTGGCTACGCGAGGGAGATACTCAGAGGCCGTGGCTACGCGGAGGGAGAGACTCAGAGGCCGTGGCTATGAGAGGGAAGAATTATAAAATAGAAAATAGAGGGAAGATGAACAAGAATAGAAAAAGTGTGTGAGAGAGAAATAATATAAAGGAACAAATGTCTAAGGAAGAAACAGATATGTGAGGACAGATGAAACATAAAAAAACTTCTAAAAGAGGATCAGTGGAATAATAAATAAAAATGGCAACAAAAGTTAGAAGCGGCTCAGAAAAATGAAAATTAGAAAAAAGTGTAATAAGGAAACAAAGTAAAAAGTGCATAAAATAAATAGAAAGCAAAACCACTATGCAGCAATATGCAAAGATTTCCTTTTTAACGAAACAGTATCAAAAGCCACGAAGCAAATTGAGGACATTATACTACAATGCAATCATATCTAAGGGGATGGAGGAAAATAGCAATATTAAATGAAAAAGATTCTATATTTAAGAAAAAAATATTCTGCAGAAACAGACAAATCAAAAGATTGAAAGATTTCCTATATCTCAAGGAGTAATGATATACTGACAGTAAAACTGGTTTATTCTTATTTTTTTCTCCTCCTTCAATTTAGTTTTAACCTGATCCCTTCCCCCTACTGGAATCTCAATGTTTCTTGTCTAACTTCTATAAAATTATAATGGCCTCACAGAAACAACTGTTTTTTCATTATTTTTTTGCTGGTTTATTTTTTAATTTCTTTTTTTTTTTTTTTTTTTTTTTTTACTTATTTTTGATATTATTCTTTCTGTGTTTTATTCCTTATAGTTTTCTTTTTCTGTTTATATTATGATCTCTCATTGCTTTTTCTTTACATTTTCATTTCCTTTTTGCTTTCTTTTCAAATCACTTTCCTTACTTCTCATTTTCAAAATATTCTTTGATTTATCAAAATTCTCCTGCACCATTTCCTACCGTTTTTTTTCTGAGATTGTCTCTCTCATAGTTGGCCAACTTTTCTGTTCATCTGCATTAGTATATCTCAATTTTCAGGCAAAATTAACTATCATTTTGCTTTTCTCAACGAAAGCTGACCTGTGGGTCTTCCTAGAATTAAAAGACATGGTGATTAAGTATAGAGTGCTATTGAATGAGCAAAACATTTAAACATTTACTGTTCTATCAGCCTAAGTAATTATTCTTTTAAAATCAATGTATGAAAGGACATTTTCTTTTCTCCTAAAAATATGAATAAAATAACTAGGTAAAATATGCCATTGTCAGCTATCTTTTCAGATGAAGTCAACTGGTGGATGGGTTCTTGTTTAGCTGATAGGACCAACATAGGAATGGTACACTTTTTCACAAGTAGGGCATCCATAAAGATCTTAGATGACAGTAGATCGGTTGATGTCTTTGAAGGTATTCTACTGCTTGCTTGCCCAATTTTGCTTCTATGGTTTGAATGATACCCATGTAAACTTTTTTTTTTTTAACTGGCTAGGGAAAATATTGTAGGCTGACACTGATTAGATTTCTGTATTACTTGTAACAGCCAATGGCAGCTTTTTTACCTGACACCAAGTCAATGAACAAAATATGCTGGAGTCACTTCACAGGACCTTGGATAATGTGGCCAACACAATGTAGTGGTCAGTTGACAAGTATGGCTTCAGTGCTTGTTGACTGGGAATATTTTTGAATTTCAACATGTAGTACCTTGTCCCTGCAGCATAACTAATGACTAATGTGGCACTGGTGATTATGCTGGTAAAGTATATAATGTGTATGAAAATTTTGCTTTAGTAATCCTTTATCAAACAAAAAGCCCAAGAGCCACTCAAGGTAGAGGGTCACTAAGTAGGGTTGTTTATGGACAAGAGAACTGTAGATTATGAAGATATGTAGTATAGATAATGGTTGATGCTAGACTTGAAGAGGTCATGTTTGTAGTATTCAGGGAAGGATCCACTTGGGAGTTCATTTCTCAAAGCAGCAGTCCTTGGGAAGAAGCTGTCTGAATGGGACTTCCTTCTTACCAACAGAACACAAAAAGAGTGATGATGGTTTTCCCCTGTGCACATTGAGGTTAAGATTGTAGTATTCAGGAAAGCATCTACTTGGGAGTCTGTACCACAAAGCAGCAGCTCTTGGGAGGAAGCAGTCTGAATGGGACTTCTTTCTTACCAACAGAACACAAAGAGAATGATAATCATTTCTACTGTGTGCATGGAGGTTAAGATTGTAGCTTTCAGGGAAGCATCCACTTGGGAGTCCGTTCCGCAAAGCAGCGGTCCTTGGGAAGTAGCTGTCCGAATGAGACTTCCTTCTCACCAACTGAACACAAAGAGAATGATGATGGTTTTCCCTGTGTACATGGCATGGCTGTAAAGGCCTGAACTAGTGGAACTAAGTAATGTGGCTCATAAGTACATTTTCCATGCAATAAAATATTAAAAGGCTTCAGACGTTGAATTTTGGGGAAAGGAGTGGTAGAATAGACAATAATTAATCACATACTATGTAAAACTATGTAAATGCCCTTGAATTTTGTTGAGGCTGGAAAGAGCTGATCGTTCAGCTCCAGTCCAGATATAACAGCAATGCTTTATTTTTGTTTTGACTCTTGTAAGGATAGCACATGGTAGGGTGAATGATGTACTTTTTGGAGTGGTATAAGCAGTATTGTTAGTGATGGATTGTATGTATGAAATCCATTTGAGGTCTGGGGTGAGCTTCAGTCCCAGTAGATGCTTTAAGCAAGGAACCTCTTTGAAGCCATTTTTAACCATTAATCATGAATGGTGAGAATTCAGTTGCATATCTATATATATATATATATATATATATATATATATTCTTACACGTTCTTTTGTGTATGTACTTGTGCGAATTAATATCAAGAGGTGAAAGTTTTCTGCTTTGTTACATATCAGTATTCTAAGTTGATAACAGTAAAGGTTCGAAATATAAAACTTCAAATTTCGACTAATGGATTTTCAAGATGTGAACACCTTTTCTCTTCAGTTGAACCTAGAATCTGAAATTCGATCTTTGATATTTATTTGAACAGAAAAAGGATAAAAAAGAACTTTAATGGCTGACAGAAATGAGATTTCTAAATCAGATTTAGAACATTCAATTGACACCTGTGAACTGGTAGTTCAATATTTTGTAGTTATTGTAAACTCATAGCTATAAATATATTTGAAATAAATATGGCTGTTAATCATTTAATGAGTAATTAACAAAAAACCAAAAAAACCCTGTTAAATAGGAATAAAGTGTCGCTACCAACACTGGAGTTTGAACACAGATCACCAGAGAGCAAACACAGGTGATCCCATTTTGAATCAGTAGGTCACGTAATGATAAAGGAAATGTATATATGGGAATTAGTGTGGCATGTAAGTAATCACTATATGGATTATTATTCGGATCACTATTTGGTGGTTACTTTTCGAGTGAGTATTATTGAGTAATTACTATTAGTGTCAGAGCTATTCGAAGACATCTGACACTGGCACTGTTCAACGGCATTACTATAGTTGTATCTGTGATTACAAAGTATCTATTACAATGAGCATTACGGAAATGACAACGCATGTTTGTTGACATCACAAAAAAAAAAAAAAAAAATTTATGAAGGAATTTCCTGTTTTGACAGCCACATTTTATATTTTAGCTGAAATACAATTGCTGATTGCCTTTTTTATGGCATATCAACCTCAACAAGTCATTTAATGATGGCAAGATTTTTATTGCTAGTAATATTGTAATATTTGTTTTTTTTTCCAAAAATCTTTTGCTGGTAACATTTTTTCCAAAAAAATGTACAGCTGGTAATATTTTTTTCAAAAAATGTCTAGCTGGTAATATTTTTTCAAAAAATGTATAGCTGTTTGCATTGCTGGTAATATTTTTTTATAAAGTGATTGCTGATAATAATTCTTTCATTCAAAAATTTATTGCTGGTAATAATTTTTTTTACAATGTATTTCTGGTATTGAAACCTATTTTTACACTTTCATAGTATTTTGATTCCAGTTTTGGCATTAACTATTTACCCAAGGCTGGGACCCTAACAGGTGCTACCATCCTGGGTCAGGGCGGACAAGGGAACTCCAGCAATTAAGAGGTCATTCCACACTCCTCAAAACATCCTGATGAGAGGCCTTACTGTTGGATGCAGTTCATCGTCATCTTACCCAGGATGCGGATGCAGTTCATCGTCATCTTACCCAGGATGCGGATGCAGTTCATCGTCATCTTACCCAGGATGCGGATGCAGTTCATCGTCATCTTACCCAGGATGCGGATGCAGTTCATCGTCATCTTACCCAGGATGCGGATGCAGTTCATCGTCATCTTACCCAGGATGCGGATGCAGTTCATCGTCATCTTACCCAGGATGCGGATGCAGTTCATCGTCATCTTACCCAGGATGCGGATGCAGTTCATCGTCATCTTACCCAGGATGCGGATGCAGTTCATCGTCATCTTACCCAGGATGCGGATGCAGTTTATTGTCATCTTACCCAGGACATTTATGGTTGCTTCTAAACTTAAAAGGTGAAGATTGTAGTAGCTTAGAAGCATCCACTTGGGAGTCTGTTCCACAAAGCAACAACCTTTGATGACTTAACCCTTTTGCTGGTTATTTAAAGCTAAACATATTTTTGATTGCAAATTTACTTTTTTGGCATTAACAGTTAGAATAATAATGATTTAGCAAGAGACAATTTTTTCTATTTAAAACTTAGCTTGGGGAAGGAGAGAGATTCATGTTTTTCCTAAGGGTATTTGTGCATAAATGAAGTAGATAGTATATAATACAGATATTGAGCTTTTAGTGTCTAAATTCCACTTTCTTGAGCAGTATATACATTCTGATACTTATCGGTCCCCTGTGAATATACGGTATTATGGTATATGCAGGATTGAGTGGTGATGGATAAGTTCTAGTGCTGAGAAGGCAAATTGTAATGAATGAATGGGTTGTGATTCTGATTAACTAGGACTAGGATAGCTAATGAAGACCAGCCTCTCTCTTTTTTCCCTTTGGCCTTTGTATTTTTATGAAATAAATAA